GGGTATTATGCTAAGTGACATTAGTCAGAGAAAGACAAAAATCATATGACTTAATTCATACGAGGGCTTTAAGACACAGAACAGATGAACATAAGGAAAGGGAAGCAAAAATAATATAAAAACAGGGAGGGGAACAAAGCATAAGAGACTCTTAAATATGGAGAACAAACAGAGAGTTGCTGGAAGGGGGATGGGCTAAATGGGTAAGGGGCATTAAGGAATCTACTATTGAAATCACTGTTGCACTATATACTAACTAATTAGGATGTAAATTAAAAAATTAAAAATTAAAAAAAGAAACATCAGGTATTAGGGGGATGCAGAGAAAGGGGAGCTCTCTTATACTGTTGGTGGGAATGCAAACTGGTGCGGCCACGCTGAAGAACAGTATGAAGGTTCCTCAAGAAACTAAAAATAGAACTACTCTACAATCCAGCAATGGGACTATTAGGTATTTACCCAAAGGACACACACACACGACTCGGATATTTATAGCAGCATTATCAACAATAGCCAAACTATGGAGAGAGCCCAAATGTCTACTGACTGATGAATAGATAAAGAGGTGGTATATATATATTCAATGCAATATTACTCAGACATCAAAAAGAATGAAATCTTGCCATTTGCAACAAGGTGGCTGGAGTTAGAATGTATTATGCTAAGCAAAATAAGTCAATCAGAGAAAAGATGAATACCATATGATCTCACTCATTTGTGGAATTTAAGAAACAAAACAGATGAACATATGGAAGGGGGAGAGAAGGGAGGGAAATAAACCACAAGAGAGTCTTAATGACAGAGAACAAACTATGGGTTGACAGAGGGAGGTGGGTGGGAGAGGGCCTAGATGGGTCATGGATACTAATAAGGGAACTTGTGATGAGCACTGAGTGTTGTATGCAGGTGATGAATCACTGAATTCTATTCCTGAAACCAATACTGCACTATGTTAATTAACCAAAATTTAAGTTAAAAAAAAAAGGGAAAAAAAGAGCTGAAAAATGAAGGGTATACTCAAAAGTAAATAGAAGAAATAAAAAAATGTAGGAATCAATAATACAGAAAACAGAAAGCAAATAAAATTAACAAAACTGGGGCACCTGGGTGGCTCAGTTGGTTGAGTGTCTCTTGATTTCAGCTCTGGTCATGATCTCATGGTTCGCAGGATCAAGCCCAGCATCGGGCTCTGGGCTGACAGCGCTGAGCCTGCTTGGGATACTCTGTCTCTCTCTCTCTGCCCCTTCCCTGCTCGCTCTCTCTGTCTCTCTCAAATAAATAAACTTAAGAAAAACTAACAAAACTGATTTTTGTAAAGAAAAACAAAACCCTTGGTAAACTGACCAAGACCAAGAAAAAAAAAATACATGAAATAAGAGAGAGAGAGAGAGAGAGGGAGAGAGAGAGAAGACACAAATCCTCATGCTACAATTAAAGTAAAAAGAAATATTCCTCATGAGCAAATATGTAAAACCCTCATAAAACATTGATTAGAAGCTAATCCAAGAATATACAAAAGGATCCTATATCATAATTAAATGAGGTTTATTTAAAAAATGCAATGTTTGTTTAACACTTGGAAATTAATCAATGTAATTTACACTATTATGTGAGTAAAAAAGAAAACCGTAAGATCAGAAAAAGCATTTGACAAAAAAATATCAACAACATCAGAAAACTCAGCAAATTTGGCACAGAAGTAAACTCCTTAATTTGATAAAAGGGCAACTATGAAAAACATAAGACTAACATCATACTGAATTGTGAAATATTGAAGGCTCTCCTAAGATGAGAAACAAGACGAAAGTGCCCACTCTCACTATTTATCATCAGTATCGCAATGGAGATCCTAGCTCTTGCAACAAAGCAAAAAGGAACAGCATAAAGATCAGAGAAGAAAGAAAACTGTCTCCATATGATCATTTATGTAGAAAATCACCAGGAATATAAAAACAAGTACTAGAACTAATAAGTAAATTTAGCAAGGTCACAGGACCCAAGCGCTATATGTGTGTATGTGTATGTGTATATATATATGTGTGTATATATATATATATATATATAAAAACTATATTTCACAAATAAGCAGCAATCATGGGATCTGAAACCACAAAAACTGTTTGATTTGTGATACTGTAAAACATAAAACATTTAGGAATAAATTTAATAAAAGATATGCAAAACTTGTATACTAAAACTACTGCTGAGAGCAATGAAAAAGATCTAAATAATAGAAAAACATATATAGAATGATTTCAAAGTTATGCTGAGTGTGGGGTGCCTGGGTGGCTCAGTGGGTTAAACGATCGACTTCAGATCAGGTCATGATCTCACCATTCTTGAGTTCAAGCCCCATGTTGGGCTCTGTGCTGACAGCTCAGAGGCTGGAGCATGCTTCAGATTCTGTGTCTCCCTCTCTCTTTGCCCCTTCCCTGCTTGTGCTCTGTCTCAGTCTCTCTCTCTCTCAAAAATAAATAAACATTAAGAAAAAAAAAAAAGTTATGCTGAGTGAAAGAGACCTTACACAAAAGAGTATATATACTGTATGACTACATTTATATTAGGTTCTGGAAGAAGCATTCAATAATCTATGATGAAAAAGTGAGAAAAGTGATTGCCTTGGGGGATCAGAAGACAGTGAGAAGGGGTAATGCTGAGCACGGTAATGTTTATCTTCTTAGAAGTTTGGGTAAACATATATATATATATACTGTCAATTCAGGGAAAACACACATCTGTATTTTATATCAAAAGAGATGATGGTTAAAAAAAATACTGAACTTTATAGTTAGTTATTTTGGGGGAAGTATACCAATGCTTAAGTGTTTTGGGGGAAGTATACCAATACACGTAATTTACTTTGAAATGTGTCTTAAGGTACTTTTTCAAAATTTATTTTAATTTTTTTTATTTGAAAGAGAGAGAGCGAGCACACATCCAAGCAAGGGAGAGGGGTAGAAGGAAAGAGAATCTTAAGCAGGCTCCATGCTCGGCAGGGAGCCTGACGTGGGGCTCAATCCCACACCCCTGGGATCATGACCTGAGCTTAAACCAAGAGTCAGATGCTCAACTGACTGATCCACCCAGGTGCCCCATGTCATAAGACAGTTTGATAAATAAATAAATGGATAGATATATGATGAAATAAGTAAAATGTTGGTGGCGGAATCTAGTTGGTGTGTATACTGGTATTCACTAATAAATTCTTTCAAGTTTGCTCTAAATTTGAAAATTTCATCATAAAATGATAGGGAAAAACTAAAAGACAAAAGTCTTCACAGAGAACTCTCAAAATCCGTATAATAATTCTAAGTCCCATAGTTAAAAGTATCATTGTAGTATAACACATTTTCAGTAATTTAATGACTTCACTTATAAATTACTACTTTTGAAATAAGAGTGTATACATCAACTGAAATTAAAATTTTACGTTTACCTTCCACACCAAGTAGGTTAGCAGATAAGAAGTTATTTACCTAATTTTGTTTTTAATATGTGGAGCAATGAGTCATGTTTTTTCCCCCTGTTAGCTAGAGTCCTATTTTTGGTTACAAGGTAGGAAGAACTGTCACCATAACTGAGTAAAAAGCATGATGGTGGAGAGAATACCAGACTGGTTATTAGAGATTTGGGTCTGAAGCTCAATTCTCTTACTAATAAGGATGCTTCAAGTCCCAAGTTTCTTTTCCATAAAATAAGAATGATATGTTAATCCCTATCTACTTGATTGGGTTGTTGTGAAAATGAAAGGAGGATGGCATAAGAAAAGCCGCAAAAGTTCACTTCATATTTAAGTTACTCAACTTAAATCTAAGTTCTGACATTGGTAGAAGAGTCAACCATTAGAAAAGATGTACGATGAAATCTGAGAAAATGGAGACGTCTGAAAGCTCAGTGACATGTTATCAACAATATCAAAGAATGTATAGGCTGGCATTGTTGTCCCAGTTCTATTATGATCTACCTATGTGGCCCAAATGAAATCTCTAGAGATTTCTGGCAAACAAAATCCTTACAGCCTTATTAATTCACTGACCTAAGGTAGATCTCTTGTTTATTGAAGCACTGTTAGTATTTTAAGTATGATAACAATTCAGAATTATTAAAAATCTTTTGAACCATAAGTCCATTAGTGTTTTCTACTCCCCACACCCACCTCACTTGGAGGAAAAAATTTTGATTAAAATTTAATTACAAATATCTAGGTCAAACAGACTTTTGACTAATAGCCTCTTTGGGCTGTACCACAGTATATCTACCATACATCCAGGTAGGGGTTAAGTAATAATCTACTGCATTCTGGGAGGTGTGATATTTAAGAAAACAGCTGCTATTGTAGATCATAGCCAAGAATGCTAGAGCAAGGGTTGGAGACCCGAACAAAAATAAACCTAGGAATTGTAGTTCATCCACATAGTTCAAATATTCTAAAAGCCAGGGTACCAGTAGTAGGGGTAAAAAAAGAATTAATATCTCAGGAAAGTAGAGATTAATCTGGTGAGGGTCTGCTGTAAACAGAAATTGAAGCAGGAACTATGTAAATTCACTTGTCATTCAGCTCTAAGTTCTAGAAGTGGTTTTGATCATTAAACAAGTGAACATAATAGAGGCAATTAGATAATAGATAATAAAGAAATTCACATATCCTGTATGATAATAAACATTGAGTCCAAAGAGTTCTGAGTTTATTTAAGGTTGAAATAAAAGGTGGGTGGGTGGAAATAATATGAAGTACAGCAGAACAAAGGAATTACATAATAAACATTTGAAGGACAAAAAGGAAAATGAGTGAAAAAATTGTGTTACCTTTTTCTACTACTACTATTATAAAACTATTATTACAAATCCTATTTCTGCAAAGGAAAAAAAATACATACATACCAATACGTTAACTGTAAAGTGTTTCTGGTTGGTTAGCTGGTATGGTATTTTTATTTTACATATTCTTAACTATTTTTTTCAACAAACACACTGCTTAGAAAAATAGGAAAAATAGTTACGTCATTGAGAAGCTGTAAAATTTGATCATCTATTTTCTGAAGTTTCATGTCATTATTAAAATTGTTTTCATGATTAACTTTCTCCGGCTCAGAAGATGGACATACAGATATAAAGGATGTCAAACCAGTATCTGTTGGTGATGCAAACTGATCCAAGGGAACTATCTCATCGATGGGTGGTGTTACCACTGGCATACTATCAATTATCTATGATACAGAAACAAACCAAAATCTTTTAAATTTATATTATTAGTGAAAATTTGAAGTTATCTTTTATATTAAAAAAAAAACCAATACCATACCTCATCTTCACTTATATTTAGCGGAGAATCTGAAGAAAATAAGTTATCCAAAAGACCTTCTAAGCACTGTAGGCGTGATGAATTTATTTTTGATAAATTTACTGGCTCACCAAATATGTTCTTGCAATCTAGGATTCTAAGCTGTGGCAACGTCTGGAGCAGAATTGCTCTGTACCCTTGGAAACAACATATTCAAAGTGAAAAGTCAGGCATTAAAAAGTTAGTTATTTCTAGAATACAGTAAATTTATCAGCTACCAGATATATCATCTAAATGATAAAATTAGTCCTGGAATGCAACAAATAAACTTGTAATAAAAGCTCCTTGGTCCTTCTCTAGTATGTAATCATTAAATACAAAACAAACAGTACCCACCACCCATCCCACAAAATCCTCCTGGTGAAGATCAGAAAGTTAAAAATCACCATTGCTGGATTTATCTTTCATAAAATTGCTTTAAAGTTATATCTGCATGATACCAGTAACAGTTTATTCTTTTTAACTTGTTATTTTTTAAAATTTACATGCAAATTAGTTACCATATAGTACAACAATGATTTCAGGAGTAGATTCCTTAATGCCCCTTACCCATTTAGCCATCCCCCCTCCCACAACCCCTCCCATAACCCTCAGTTTGTTCTCCATATTTATAAGTCTCTTATGCTTTGTCCCCCTCCTTGTTTTTATATTATTTTTGTTTCCCTTCCCTTATGTTCATCTGTTTTGTCTCTTAAAGTCTTCATATGAGTGAAGTCCTATGATTTTTGTCTTTCTCTGACTAATTTCACTTAGCATAATACCCTCCAGTTCCATCTACATAGTTGCAAATGGCAAGATGTCATTCTTTTTCATTGCCGAGTAATACTCCATTGTATATATATACCACATCTTCTTTATGCATTCATCCATCAGTGGACATTTGGGCTCTTTCCATACTTTGGCTATTGTTGATAGTGCTGCTATAAACATGGGGGTGCATGTGTCCCTTCAAAACAGCACACCTGTATCCCTTGGATAAATGCCTAGTAGTGCAATTGCTGGGTCGTAGGGTAGTTCTATTTTTAGTTTTTTGAGGAACTTCCATACTGTTTTCCAGAGTGGCTGCACCAGCTTGCATTCCCAAGTAACAGTTTATTCTGAACAGAAAGCCAAACATGTCTTTTATTTGTAATATGATTAGTATAAATATAAATCAGATAATGGGGGTAACAACCAGAAATCCAGAATTTTGCTAATGAAGCCTCAAGCATTAGTACAATTAAACACCCCCAACTGTCCCCCTTAAATTACATATAACTAAGATTAAGATAGGCAATGTATCAACTATTCAAGAATATGTTTATTTTCCCTAAGTACAATTAAATATGAGAAATCTGATAAATCACCATTAATTTGTGTTTTGGCTAAAAGAAACACTTTAATTTTACTTAACCATAATTTTAAACAAAGGGCAATGAAATGGTTGGAAAAACTCCAAAATAAAGAAGGAGGTCTGGCAAATTAATACTAGAAATTTTGAAGGGAAATTAAGTAATTTTAGTAATAAGTATCCCTTCAATTCTAGGGGGATGGCAATCATGTTATAATACCTCGTCAAATAAAGTGAAAAACAAAGGTTCAAACTGTAGGAACTAGAGACTCTTAAGACAAACTGTTAAGAAAAAATCCAACTTGGGTTAAGTAGAGAAAAAATAAAGTTGTTTTAGCAATAAGGTTTTCTTTCAAGAAAAGAAAACTGAAGTTCACTATCCTAATTGTTAGGGAGACTCTATATTATATCGCCTGAGGAAAATAGTTCATCTCAAATCTATTATATTCTTGTCTGAAGTAAAATTATCAAAACAGGTTTCCATTCTGGGAAAAGCCTTCATACAGCTGCATATTAATAACAGAATGGAGCCAACTCTATAGCCAACATCTACCCAAGCAGATCTTTAGAATATATATTCATATTCTACATTTGTCATCTTATTGCTTGGTTAAGCAACTTGAGATTAGTGAGTTCTAGAAACTGCAGTCTGGTCTGCTTTGTATTTGCCAGCTTTCAGGGATTCTGAATTAGCTCAAACGGCATTTCAGCAGTGTCTTCTATATATCATATTCAGTTTAAGCTTTCTTTCTTACAAAAATCATTTATTTATTAATTATTTAACACATTCACAGATAAAATTTAAAAAGTATACAGGAGGGGCGCCTGGGTGGCGCAGTCGGTTAAGCGTCCGACTTCAGCCAGGTCACGATCTCGCGGTCCGGGAGTTCGAGCCCCGCGTCGGGCTCTGGGCTGATGGCTCAGAGCCTGGAGCCTGTTTCCGATTCTGTGTCTCCCTCTCTCTCTGCCCCTCCCCCGTTCATGCTCTGTCTCTCTCTGTCCCAAAAATAAATAAACGTTGAAAAAAAAAATTAAAAAAATAAATAAATAAATAAAAAGTATACAGGAAAAAATTTTCCTAACATTTCCTGATTTGCAGCTACCCTTTCCACTATTTCTGCATTTCCTGACCTCCAGCTACTTAATACCGGAGTTAGGCATTGTTACCAGTTTTTGGTGTAGCCTTCTAGATATTTTACATATATACTCAGCAAATACACATGTTACCCTTTGCATACAAATGGCAACCTATTATTTGCAATGTTTTGTAATCGGCTTGCTTTTCTTTCTCTTAACAGTATATCTTGGAGATAAGTGCATACCAGTAGCTAAAGATTCTGTTTTTTTATTTTTTTATGCCTGCACAGCATTATACTGTAAGAATATAACATAACATAATTTAATTTTGAGGCATTCACTTATCAAGCATAAAGCTGCCTATGTAGAATTACTTATCTGTTCATCCTGTGTTCTTTTAATGGCAATTTGTCTTAAAAATTATTTGCGATTATGGTTTTTTCCAAACATGTACTAAAAAGTTGCAAATCTTAAGACAAATAAAAGGAGGTCATCAACACCAGTTGCTGCAAATAAAGAATCTTTGAATATTAACTATTACAAAAAGTATTAAATTAATTGCTCATACCTGGTACACGACAGACAGGGTTATCTTCTCCATTTGTCTCCAAAATGAGATTAGTCAAGAAGTGCAATCCTACCATACACTGAAGTAAGTGATGGATACTATCTATACAATTACTATGTAAGTCAATATATCTGAGTTTATGTTTAATTCCATGAAGGGGGATCAAACCTGGAGTACGGGGGAAAAAAAAACAAATTTTTTGATACCATCAAAGTCATTTTTCCAAGAACTAATTAAAAAATAATTTTTACATGGGTTAGATTTTGAGACAAAGGAGCAGCATTAATAAGACTCTGCATATAGCTACAGCTAATAAATAAGGTATCCGTAAAGTCAATTTCTGTTTTGAAGGAACACAGGTTTAGCATCTCTTTGAGGCCCTAGCCTGGAGGTCTCTGGTTTTCTTCAAACACAACAATGTACCTCCCAAGGCCAATGTTAGGTACTTATATGAGAAGCATAAAGGCATGACTTAAGGCTCTCGATCAATACATATTTTTGATTAGTAGACATAAGCAAACACTGCAATATCCTTCAATTTTGTTGGTTTGAGCATAAAATACAAATAGCACCCATTTAATTTCGTTCCCTGGTACTAATTCTTACATGAGTGCACCTAGAGTATGGTAATGCTAGGAACTAGGTTTGCAGCAGAGGCGACTGCTGCCTGGTACCATTCTCATTGACCAGCCTCGGACTTGAGCTGCAGCTGTGATGAATGCGGCCATGTACACTGCCAGTGTCTCCCTGGAGCACTTCATGTTTCTCTTTTCTTGCCTCAGAGCTCCCTACAAAATGGAGCTTTTGAGCAAAGGTGCAGCCTGGAAATGTAAGGGAGTTAAAACCTCCAGGGATATTCTCAACAGAAGGGGGACTGTCAGTGGATGAATGCCCTAGTCTCCCTTCTTTTGGAAAGACCATTCAGAGATGTACTCTATATTGTTCCTCCTGAGGTCTTATACACAATTTTGCTTGGTTTAGTACTCTCCATATATAAATTCAACTTTACCCACCTTTTTTTTTCCCTTCAATTTCTTCAACCTGACTGGTATACTCTTCTCTTCTCCATCTTTATTGGGCTAACTTCTACTTCTGTTTCTTACAGCATTGCCTCTTCTTTTGTTCACAGTCCTCATCACTAACTTCAACTCATCCCTCATGTCCTCAGAAAAGTCTTCTCTGACAACTCTCTACAAGATCAGATTTTCTCTCATGCGTTCTTGTAAGTACTCAGCATTTCTTCTTCCTGTGATGTTTCTAAGTCCTTGTTCCATGTTACTGGTTCTTCCTCTCATGTTTTAACTTTATGTTCCTCTTACTTTTCAATTTTAAAGGCTCATTCCTGGTCTGCCTTCTCTATTCATATGCTATCCAGGATGTCCTACAGTTTCATGGTTACAAATACCATTGATGTGCCAAATCTACAACTCCAACTATGATTCCCAATCTCTAAACTGCACGTTATACAAATACATAAACACATATGTCTAATAGGGTTCTCAAATTTAAGACAGAATCCTTACGTCTCACCCCCTCAACTCTGGTTTTTCCCCCAATCTTTCCCACATAGTACCATCATCCGCCTGTAACTACAGAAAAAACTCACAGCTAATTACCTTTGATTCCTTTTTTCTTCATTTCCTTATCTCAATCCATCAGCAAATCCTATGAACTCTACCCCCAAAATATATCCATTTGCTCCTCTACACTATTTCCACCTTAGTCCAAGTCTCTCCTAACCAATCACTTGACTTCCACTCCTATCCTTCTAACATTCATTCTTATTCAGCAACCAAAGTGATCCTTTAAAAACACGTATATATCACTTACTTGTTTAAAGCCCTCCTATGGCTTCCTATTGCACCTAGAATAATATGCAAACTTTTACCCTGAGTATGAAGCTGTGATCTGGCCTTTGCCTACTTTCTCATCTCTTTTCTTAGCACATTAACCCCTCATTACTATGCTCTAGCACATTACCCTTCTTTCTGTTCATCAGGACAGGCTTGAAGGTGAGGTGCCTTACTGTTTTTGCATGCTCTTATATAAAGTGCCTTTATTTATTGAACACATAAAATATTATCATTCTAAGAATTATCCATTAGGACTTACATGGTTCCTTATATTTTCTTCATACTCCTTATTACAATCTGATATGAAGTCACTAAAACACACTCTTTTTAGGTGTACATATCAATGTATTCTAATAAGCATATACAGTTGTATAACCACTACTATAATAAGATGCAGAACATTTCCATCCCTCCAATCAACATGTCTCTGTTCCCATTTTCAACCCCTGGCAACTAATGATCTAATTTCTGCCACTAAAACTTGCCTTTGTCAGAATGCCATATAAATGAAATCATACAGTGCAACCTTCTGTGTCTTACTCCCTGCACTTAGCCTATTTCTTTTCTTTTTTTTTTTTTTTTTAATTTTTTTCAACGTTTATTTATTTTTGGGACAGAGAGAGACAGAGCATGAACGAGGGAGGGTCAGAGAGAGAGGGAGACACAGAATCGGAAACAGGCTCCAGGCTCTGAGCCATAAGCCCAGAGCCCGACGCGGGGCTCGAACTCCCGGACCGCGAGATCGTGACCTGGCTGAAGTCAGACGCTTAACCAACTGCGCCACCCAGGCGCCCCAGCCTATTTCTTTTTAGATTTATCCATATGACTGCATCTATCAATAGTTCATTCCTTTTTGCTCCCAAGCATATTCCATCATGTGGATGAATCACAATTTGTTTATTGTTTACTAAGTGGTAAATGTATAGATTGTTTCCAGTTTGGGGAGATTATAAAGAATCATATAAACATCATTATATAAACAGCTATATAATCATATAAACATTCATGTACAGGGTTTTGAATAGACATGTTTTCATTTCTCTTAGGTAAATACCTAGAAGGACTGCATGATTATATGGTGAGTGTATGTTTAAGATTATAAGAAACCTTCAAACTGTTTTCCAAAATAGTTGTATCATTTCAGTTCTCCCCACAGTGTATGCAAGTTCTAGCTGCTATACAATCTCACCAGTCTTTTGTACTGTAAGTTTTTAAAACTATCTATTCTAGCAGGTATGAAGTAGATCTGATTACAATTGTAATTTGCATTTTCTTAATCACTAAGGATGCTAAATATATACATATATTTTTCATGTGCTTATTTGCCATTTGGATATCCTCTTGAGGAAGCGTCTGCTCAAATCTTTTGCTTATTTTCGAGGGGTTGACATAATCATATTTTTTGTTTTTCATCCTCACTACAATGTAAGCCCTATGACCAGAACCTAATCTATTTGTTGTTGTTGTTTTTCATCACTATAGAACAGTATGTGATAGTGATCTTCAATAAATATTTGTTGAGTGAATGAACGAGCAAATCTTATCCAAGAGTCACATTCTTCAGATAAGGAAACTGCATCCAAATAGTAATAATATACTTTGCTCAACAGCATGTAGCAGTGACAAAGCTAGGGTTAATACTCAATTCTAATATTTTCACATCTTTGGGAAAAAACGTTTATTTTTTAATTTTTTTTTTGGAGAGAGAAAAAGAGAGAGCAAGCAGGAGAGAGGGGCAGTGGGAGAGAAAGAGGGAATCTCAAGTAGGCTTCATGCCCAACCCAGGGTTCTATCTCAAGACCCTGGGATCATGACCTGAGGAGAAATCAAGAGTGGGATATTCAACTGACTGAGCCATTCAGGCATCCCAGGGAAAAAAGGTTTTAAAAAATTAAAGTATTCTTGAGGCACCTGGGTGGCTCAGTTGGTTAATCGTCCAGCTTCAGGTCAGGTCATGACACAGTTCGTGGGTTTGAGCCATGTATCAGGCTCTGTGCTGACAGTGCAGAGCCTGGAGCTTGCTTCGGATTTTCTGTCTCCCTCTCTCCCTGCCCCTCCCCCACTGGTACTCAGTCTCTCTCTTTCAAAAATAAATAAACATTAAAAAATTAAAATATTCTTGCCATTCCAGCTTAATGGTAGGGTTCTCTTTAATTTTCTGTATATGAAATACCTGGCATAGGGCAGTATTTTTGTAGTACTGGGAGAAAAATAAACACATGAATAAAATTGTTTCAAATACTGGTAGAATTGTGAAGATAATTAGAAGAAATCTGCCAGTTCTAACAGATAATTCTAAGAATAATCATGAAACTTTGTTCATTTTATCAGTGTATCACTTTACTCAATTAAAAATAGGTAACAATGTTTAACTTTGTAGACATGCTAAAAGTCAAAAAGAAAAAAATTTATTTGATCTTCAATTCGCAATAGCCTTTAAAATGCTGTATACCCATATGGTCCAATATCTTAGCACTAGCCACATATGGCTTTTTAAAATTAAAATTAAATTGCAAATTTAGTTCCTCACTGCACTAGCCACATTTTAAGTGCTCCAAAAGGATACATCTGGCTATTAGCTGTCATACCACACAGCACAGATATATAATATTTTCATCATTGTAAAAAGTTCTATTATAACTATTCTTCTTTATATGATAGTATATTACTTATTTATGATTAAAACATTATTATTCTCCCAAAGTTAAGTCTTTCCCATCCAAGTTTTTTCTGTTGCCGAGCACCCTAGTTTATGTTCCTATTTTTTATTTTAGCTGTAGCTTTGGCACCAAAAAAAAGAATTATGACTGAAGTACACTCTCTAGATATTTTGGTCAAAAATGGGATTATTCAGTTTTCAGCATGCTGAGCTCAGCCTAATTCATCACATGTAGCAGACATTCAGCATTATAGAAAATATAAGATTATCTACTTACCACTAAGATCATTGATGTGGTTATAAGATAAATTCAATCTAGTCAGATTAATTAGTGTTTCAAGTCCTAAAATAAAATAAAATAAAGCCTTTATAGAATTAAAATAATTATTTAGAGCTACACAGTATTGCTATTTCAGACAGTTTGAAGCAAATCCAGTCAGATAGTGAAATCAATTTTATTGGCATTTTACAAAATACTTAAAAAACTGATAACTTTTCTTGAAGAAAACTCTTTATGTAGTAAAAGTTAGGCTCAGTTTTCAAAGGTTTATATTTTATTCCATTCTTTTGGGAAGAAGAAAAGCATTTAAATCATCTTTCTCATGCAAAGTATCACATGAAAATCACTTACAAACCTTCTATTCTTGTGATCATATTGCAGGACAAATTTAAAGTGCATAGTTTTGTCAGTGTATTTAGCCCTTCAATTTGAGTTATTTGATTAGATGACAGATCTAAGTGTTGTAAATTCCAAACATGATCAATGGCTTCAATTTTTGAGATGTTATTGCAATGAAGATTGATGGCATGAAGGGTTGAATCTAAAGATAACTCTGATATGCTACAAGAGAAAATATATGTTATCAAAAATAATTAAGGAACAGATTTTAAAATCATGACCAAATAATTAAAATCAACCAAATACCATGTAGATGATAAGTATGTGCTCTACTCATTCTATAATGAAATCCTTCCTACTTATGGTAACATCTTAATATCTCATAAGGTACTCATAAGGTACAGTGCTTCTTACCACTAATCAGTATTTTGGACCATAGAGATAAACAAGAAATCCATTCAACAGAGGCAAGTGACCCTAGGCATTTCTAGCTTCTACATACATCAGCATATAATGAAGGCTGTTATTGTAAAGGCCCTGGAATCATAATACCCCAGTTCAAATCTGCATTCTACCATTTTCTTTTGCTAAATTACTTAAGTGAGTTAACCTCTCTAACCCTCAGTTTCTTCATTTCATTTAACCCTCACAACAATTCTCAGCAACCAGTATTGCTGAGAATACTGAATATCCTCAGTATTCTGAGATACTGAATAAAGATACTGAAGTTTGCAGATATTAAATAAGTTGTCCAAGTTCCTACAGTTATTACCTGAGGCAGTATAAATCCAGATCTGGCACTGGAGTTTATAATCTTGCCTTATTTACCATTTGCGACAGCTATTTAACCAGAAAGTAGTGGGTTTCAAAAGAAACCATTAGTTATTGCTATCTGTAGTGAAAGTCTATTTCTAGTGCTATTTCTAGTGAAGTCCATCCTCCCTTCTATAAATTTGGAATGCACCTTCTCTAAATAGAACTCATCTCTTCATTCTCTCATTTACTGCCATTTATTACCAGACCTTTCCTAAAGATAGTAGTTCCAGGAATAAAAACTACAGTGCACATAGTTCAGTGATGCTGGGTGGAGGAACAGTTGGGAATAGGAACACACAATGTTACAGGCATCTGTTCTATGTTCTGTAGCAGCTACCATAGAGGAAACCTAACTGGTGAAAGTGCAGGTTTAGTACTCAGGGAGTAAAATAAAAAACAAGGGATTCTGGTGTGCTTCCAAATTAGCATCAAGAATTTCAAATTCAAAATTAAAACACAAAAACACTTTAAATATGCCATAAGATCATTCAGCTCCTCCCTTAGAATTCAGACTGAAGCACCTAATAACTCGTGGCAGAAAATTAGCTACTGTCATTTACTGAGGTATCATTTAGTGCCAGGCCTTATGCTATTAACACATGCTCATAATGATGTACATTTATTTTCTGACACATTTTAGTTTTTGGAAATTAGTACTTTGCAGATAATGTGGTACAGGAGAAAAAGCAGACCCTGAAATTAGACAGAAATAGGGTTTAAATTTGAACTTAACCACTCACAAGCTGCGTGAAGCTGAAGAGCTGTTTAGATCCTTTGAGCCTCCTGTCACTTATAAAATTGCCCTCTTGCAGAATAATTGTGAGGATTAGTGATAACGTATATAATATGTACACATAAATGGCATCCAGTAAATAACAGCTATTATTAAATATAAATGTAAATATTCCTTTAAAAAACATCTCCTTGGGGTCTTGTAGCAAATTTTAGATCAGAATCCAGAACAAGATGGTTTAATTATCAGCAGCAAGGTTCTGCATATGGCAGGGCATGCCGCAAAGGAACAGCATGTGCAAAAGCACAGAGAAGCCTACTATGGAACTGCCAGTAGCACAGTATGGCTAATCATAGAGTAAAATGAAGAAATGGTTAAGAGGGGAGACCGAAAAGGTAGGCAAGGACCAGTCAGTCAGTAAAGCAGAACAAAGAACTTAGTATGTCATGCATAAACTTGGGCTACATGAAAGGGGGAACGACTAGCTAAATATGATGTTCAGTACTTTCAAAAAGTATATGGATATAGGTATCATAGTGTTCTGCAAAGGAGAAATTAGAATGCAGGTGTAGAGAATTGAGGCAAAACTAATGAAGAGCAGTAAAACTTCGCTCCACAGCTGCTAGAGATACCACGGTGCCACTTTTTGTCAAAGTAAGAGAAGGAGCAGAAAAGACAAGACAGAACCGGAGTATGCTAACAATTACAGAACAAGTAAAAAAAAGAGTAATTAGAAAAACAAGGAGAACCAGTAAAGGAGGGAGGACGGTTAAAGGCTGGTAGAGTCAGGTCGTAGGGCAGTTTCCAGGTTGATTAGAAGTCCAAGTGGAAAGGAATAAGGACAATTCGTGGGACGAGGTACTTCAGAGCAATTCTGCAGCTCTAAGGCGGGAGAAAGCCGGACAGCATTTGTGTGTGGTCTGGGTAAAGCTGTGCCGCCTCCGCTGCACCGAGGCAGCCACCTACCCACAACTGCCGTCCGGGAAATGCGCGGGCTGCTTCTGGCTGAGCAGCACCCTTTACCTTCGCAGGCCTTTATCCATGAAGCACAAGTCCCCGCAGCTGCTGTCGCCGTCCCCATTTTCAACTTCCGCCTCCACCGGCGCCTCCATGGAACCGGCGACGGGAACCTTGATCTTAACCGGCGCCCAGAGCTGGGTGGGAGAGCCCGGAACACGCCTCCTTGGTGAGCGGAAGTCCAGCCCGAGAGGGCGGGGCGATGATTCCCCCACCCGCCCGTCTTCCAACCGACAGCCGGGCACTTTCCCGCCCTTACGGTGCCGCAAAGCGGGAAACCTGATTTTCTTCCCCAAGGGCTTCCCTCCCTTTTACGGTATCTAGGGCGCAACTCTCGAGACTTGCCGTAAAGGGAAACATCATTCCGCGTGGTAGCTGTTGGGGAAAGAATGAGTTTTTCCTTTGAAGCTGCTCTGTATGATTTTTGCGTTTTAGGTGACTGACTTCTGAAGCCGATTTGATAGCAGTTTGTCTTTACAGAACTAAGTTAGTTGTTCCCCCACCGGCCATTGCACCTACTGTTGTTGATTCAGTCAGTAAACATTTATGGGATGCCTTTACATATGCCAGGCACTTACCTGTGCCATGAGGAATAAGTTGAAACCCATTCTCGTTCCTGGAAGCATTCACAGTTCAATGGAGGAAACAATTGACGTGCAACAGGGTGAGTGCTAGGAATAGCACTGGAGCATTTGTGCAAAATGTGTAGAGATGTGGGTAGTGGGAAAGTTTTCTAAACAGTTGTTGATGACTGAGCAGAGTCTTACTAGGTCAAAGGGAATTCTGGAAATGAATGACATTTCAGGTAGCAAAACAATACCAGAAGGTCGAAGAGGCCACCTGGTAGGCTTGCTCTGTAACTCATGGGAAAATTTAAAAATGGAGACAAAAGGTATGTCAGCTCTGAACCTGTCACTGTCTTGAACTAAAATCTTTGGTGGTCCCTCATTAGCAGTCAAATAAAAGCCTAACTTTCTAATCTAATATTGAAGATATTTCCAGTCTTAAATGTTAATAGGTCTCCTACTGTTTAGCTATACCTATCACGTTCTAAAATTTGTAGCCACCATTCACTATTTCCTGTTAATCATGTGCTTTGTCATATGTCTGCAGCTCTTTCCAACCAGAAATGGAGGTAGAATCTCTTTAATGGTTCCTCGATTCTGGGCTTGCTTTTGCCTTTTTTTTTGGAGGGGGGCAATGCATTTAATTCTAGTGCCGGGCAGAAACAAGTTACTCTAGCTAAGGACACACAGCACACAGATACATACATGAGCCCAGAAGTGCTTAGCTGAACCCATCCCAAATTGCAAAATAACAGAAATGGTAGTTAAATAAAGTGTTTTGTAAATTCCGGAAATGTGTTATGTAGGATTAGATGATTGATAAGTCACTAATCTCTGAATATCCATTAAAATACAGATTTTCAATGGGGATGAGTATTATATAGTCTTACCTAATACAAATAACTGATGTAAGAAACAAATTATGTTATGGGTGCCTGGGTGGCTCAGTTGGTTAAGTGTCGGACTTTGGCTCAGGTCATGATCTCACAGTTGTGGAAGTCATGGTTGTGGTTGTGGGTTTGAGCCCTGGGAGGGGCTCTGTGCTCACAGTTCAGAGTCTGGAGCCTGCTAACTATCCTGTGTCTCCCCTTCTCTCTGCCCCTCTCCCACTCACGCTCTGTCTCTCAAAAATGAATAAGCATTAAAAAAAAATTAAAAAGAAACAAATTATGTTGTAATGGTATTAAATGTATTGGATCTTTCCTCCAAAATCATGGACATTATAATTAATTAATTAAAATATTGATTAGGGTCACTGGAGTCAAAAAATCTTAGCACTTAAGAATTGACTTTTTTTTAATAATTTTTTTTAACGTTTATTTTTGAGACAGAGAGAGAGAGAGCATGAACAGGGGAGGGTCAGAGAAAGAGGGAGACACAGAATCTGAAGCAGGCTCCAGGCTCCGAGCTGACAGCTGTCAGCTGTCCCGACGTGGGACTCGAACCCACGGACCACGAGATCATGACCTGAGCCGAAGTCGGACCCTTAACCGACTGAGCCACCCAGGCGCCCCAAGAATTGACTTTTTAGGGGCATCTGGGTGGCTCAGTCAGTTTAAGCCTCCAACTTGATTTTGGTTCAGGTTGTGATCTTAGGGTCATGAGAGTGAGCCCTGCCTTTGCTCTGCCCTGGGCATGGAGACTCCTTAAGATTCTCTCTCTCTCCCTCCCTCTCGCCCACTCCACTAGAGCGCTTCTGCACGTGTGCGCTCTCTCTCAGTAAAAAAGAATTGACTTTTTAAAATGATAGTTTGATGAACTACTTCTATCGTTTGTCTGGTTGTTGTTGTTGTTGTTGTTGTTGTTGTTGTTGTTTAGCACAAATGCTTAGAAACTGCAGTTTTGCTTTGAAATTCTTTATGTGCAAACCAAAATTTGTTAACTAAGTTTCTATAGGAGACCTAAGTTCTAAATTTCAAAGAACCTATCATTAATATTCTAAATAATATGTAATTAACACTTTTCAAT